TAGACCCACCGATCACGATGTCATTCACAAATCATCGTAATTATTTATATCGTCAATAACCAGCTTCAGTTCGTAACGTCCGTTGACGCTTTCCCAGTGTCGCACTACGAGGTGCGCTTCTCGGAGAGCCGAGCGCAGCTGCGGGACCACTTCACCGACTGCACCAGCGTGCCCCACTGGAGCCAGCCCGAGCCAGCCGGCACGCCCAGCCGCGCCGTCATCGACTTTCACACCGTCGACAAGCTGCTCTTCTTCGCCATCCGCGGCGTGGACGCCGCCGGCAACGTGGCGCCCATCTCCAACGCTGTCGCGCTGGTGCTGCCGGCGCCGCCGCCGCCGCCGTCGCCGCCGCCGCCGACCGGCACCACGTCGCCCGTTCAGCCGACGCCGCCGCCGTTCGACAGCCGCCTGCTGTTGATCGGGCTGCTGTGCGTAGCCGGGCTGATTGTGCTGCTCGTCCTGCTGGCCATGTACTACTTCCTGGTGTACCGGCGCAAGAAGCCGGCGCCGGACAGTCGGATGCGGGGCTACGTGAACACGGTGGCGCTGGCGAGCGAGCTGAGCAGGGAGCCGACGCCGGTCAAGGTGGCGTACGGCAGCGAGCGGAACGGCTTCACACCGGTGGAGGCACACAACCCCGGCCTCACTCGCTGGGGGGTGACGGACACGCCGCCCGCTCTGGGCTTCGAGCCGCACCGCAGCGGTACGCCGCCGCACCAGCCGCCCGGCCGCTGGGGCGCGAGCGACACCCCGCCTACGCCGGGGCTCGGGGCGCACCACCACAGCGGCCTGTCGGCGCCGGGCGTCCGGCGGGCGCGCTACAACAGCTACCAGACGCCCTACGACGAGGACATGGTGCCGGACGGCCGCTCGCTGGACAGCACGCCGCCGGTCGGCTCGCAGGCGTCACTCGCCTCTGACGGCCGGCCGGTCCCGCCGCGGCTCGGCGAGTCGGCCGGCTGGGGCCTGGACGCCGGCTCGGGCCGCGTCAGCTCGCCCGGCTCGATCGAGTCGCAGTCGAGCCGCCGCGGCGGGCCGCCGCCGCCATCCGGCCACGGCCGGCCCGGCGACCGCCGGCGGCGCAACGTCACCCAGGTGTAGCGCACGGGCGGGTCACGTGGTGCTGGTGCGGTGCTCAGAACGGAGTCACGTGATGTGGGTACGGCGACCGAGGTGGGAGTCACGTGATGCGAGTGGAGCGTCCCGAGGCTGACGGCTGCCTGGCACTGGGCGGACCTGTTCGTGATCCCGCCGTCGCCTTCACTCGCCACAGCCCCGTCAGCTGATGCAGTTGACGCCGGCTGGAGTGATCCGTCCGTCGACGCCAATTTGTCAGGTGTTGTTGACCAAATGGCACGCCAACGAGCACGTGTCGACTGGCACAAAGCTCGTGACGAAGGTCGGTGCGTGGCACTGTGACATGTAGCGGGTGCATGGTGCGCAGTGACGAAACAGAGTGGGTTTTGTTGTTCCGCACGGTCGCTCACCTAGTGACCTTCACCGTCAACGTGTTTGGTGCTACGCCGTCTAGACCAATCTGCTGATTTGCTCAGTGTCTTCCTGACCGACGGCACAATCGGTGGTGTTTGCGCATGACATGCAAATGCGCCCTCACGGCACTTTTTGTATCTGCCATGCTAGGGTTCAAAGATGATGAGCGAGCGGCGTCAATGCGTGCATTTACGAACGCGCTTCATTGCCTGCTCTGAGGCATGGTTGGAGAATGCAACGTGGCAAGTGTGACAGCGGCCATCGCCTCCTTTGAAATGACCATGATTATAATGTTGTCATCGAGAGCTGCTCGCTCAGGCCACTTCGCACAACTTTACCAAGCAACCTCCAGCCATGCCCTTGGCCTGGTGCCCAGATCTCCGAGGCTCGTTGCACCTAGACCACTGTCCAGGTCGAGGATGTGTACCTAAGCTGATTGGAACTGGCGTGCTACGTCACGTTCGTGTTTTGTCTAGTCACAATAACTGTAATGAGCGAAATATATTTGAAAAGGGACGATAGTGGCTGTGTCAGCTGTCTATGCTACACTATGCTTGGTGCAATCACTTCCGACCTGCAGCGCCTGTAAAAGAGAACTCTTGATCAAGAAGTACCTAGGTCACTTACTTGCAACTCACCCCAGCCGGACGTTGCTCGAGGCGTTTGCTGTGAAAGTAGATAATGAGAAGTGAATGCACGCGACAAGCCTTGGAAATTTATGGCTTGCCGGGCAGCCTGTATATTTGCTAGTGGCTGCAAATATCGAAAACTGCTTGGCTGCGCGCGTTCGCAACGTCACGAGCGAATGTGAGAATCGCACGCACTGGAATTAGTGTGCGCGACGAAGATGTTTCACCCAGCATGCACGTTGAATTATAAATGCGAACGTTCGTTTTGGCGGCCTTAAATCACGCCCGCGAAGAACTCGTGATAGATTTCACCCTCAGGACACATTGCTGCTTTGTTTGCAGCCCGGCGAACTGATCAGTCACATATACTGCAGACAAGGCCACACCGGTGGCTACGCGGGCCGACACACAACGCGCAAAAGGGATCACTGTCGGCATCCCAGCCTCCTTGCGTCTTCAAAAAGGACGAGAATCGAATCCAAACGGCAGCGTGAGCTTGTGTGTATCAAACTCAGGACCCTGCCTTGGCGGGTAGGATGAAATTACCCCCAGGCCGTGTCGCCTTTCTGGGCCGGACCGGGCCTGTACCATCTTGAGCTTGGCAACAGACTTATCACTAAACTACCCCGGATGTAGCCCTCGTGAACAGTCGAGCACAGGACAGCCGACTGGAAGGGATGGCACCGGGCTGGACGATTGCCGACTGAGCAGAGCGCGAACTACCCCTTTGTGGGAAAAACTTGTAGCAGCAGCACATGGGGTAGGTGGCTGCAGTTTGTGGTATGAGTTTTTCCCAACAACGATGTTACACCGATTGGAGCGGATGCTATCATCATCTTGTGTCGTGTCGTGGCTGTTTAGTTTACACCTTAATGTTTCGCTTGCGGTAATGTCGGAATTATCTGATGGAAAGGTGCATGAAAATGTTTAGAAAGATGTTTGAGTCGATATTATTTGTGCTAATCTGTTTTTTTTCGCTGCCGTGTTTCTCGTAACGATGAGCCCATCCTCCTATGCTCGGTTCAGTGCTCATTTCATGCCTTCCTCCTGTGGCCGGTCCGGTGCTGATCCCGCGCCTTCCTCCTGTGGCCGGTCCGGTGCTGATCCCATGCCTTCCTCCCGTCACCGGTCCGGTGCTGATCCCATGCCTTCCTCCTGTGGCCGGTCCGGTGCTGATCTCGTGCCTTCCTCCTGTGGCCAGTCCGGTACTGATCCCGTGCCTTCCTCCTGTGGCCGGTCCGATGCTGATCCCGTGCCTTCCTCCCGTCACCGGTCCGGTGCTGATCCCGTGCCTTCCTCCTGTGGCCGGTCCGGTGCTGATCTCGTGCCTTCCTCCTGTGGCCAGTCCGGTGCTGATCCCGTGCCTTCCTCCTCCTGCCGGTCCGGTGCTGATCCCTGCCTCCTTCCTGTGACCGGTCCGGTGCTGATCCCCTGTCTTCTCCTGTTGCCGGTCGGGTGCTGATCCCCCGCCGGTCGCAGCCGGCACCGGCCGGGTGCCAGCCGCGTCCCGCCGCGGCCTCTCGCCTCTTTAATCACTGGTAATTTATGGCCTACCGTCCTCGGACAAATGCAATTCAAATAAAAGGCGTGACCCTCATCATTGTCGCCCTGCGCCAGATTTACGTCCACCATTTCAATTACGTCTCTATTTTCTGCTATTTACGACCTGCCTTTTCAGCCTTTCATTAGGTTTTTACGCAAGTGCAGGGGCGTTCCGAGCGGAAAGCTCGGTCGGGGGCTCGGTGCTAAAACTTGGGATGCGATCTGGTCTTTGAAAAAAGGGCTCTCTTCATAGTGTTCCCACGAAAAATATGTTGTTTCACCTTTCCTTCCATCCAGTCGATAAGCCCGTTACGCAAATCAATACTGCAAATGTGTTCCGGGAAAACAAAATGTCAAAATGTGAGGAGAATTATTGTTTTCGTACGTTTATGAGATATATCGTCAATGGCACCAACTGTCTCACATTTGTTTCGTTGATAATGCATCGATTTTCCATGTCACAGAGTGGACTCAAATAACATAGAGTGAGATCGTCACAAGTTCTAAGCAGGACCGCTCCTGCTTCAGCAGTGCTCTGTTAGTGTTTTGAGTTCTGTAACTCTTTGCCATGGGTGCTAAAGATTATCAAAAACTGCGATGACCATTTCATTTTACCTAGCACGGGCAAAAATAACGACTCCTTAAAGCACACTTTTGTTTTTACCAAACCTCAAACAAGCGATGCATTGTCATTTTTGCGCTTTGCCTTTGGCCTCACACTGGACAGTCACTTTGAGCACACTGCCAAACGAAAAGTAAAAAATCTGCGCTACGCAGACTCGCCTTCCATTGACTCCATGATTATATATATATATATATATATATATATATATATATATATATATATATATATATATATATATATATATATATCAGCCGTGAGTTGTATACATATGTGGTGATACAAGTGATGTAAGGATGAACCTGTCATTGCGCTTTCTTAAGTATTTGCATCCAAGTAGTCTCATCCAAGAGGTAGGCTCATCGCGAGTCATATGTCCTTTAATCGCGAAGTCGGCAAACCTGTGCGATGCATAACTTGACTGCAATGGTTTCTTCCTCGCTTTCCTTGAATATCCAGAAAACGTTCCTACGTCTTGAACACCTGATGTATATGCTTCCGTGTATCGTGGACGGTCGCCACCTGGTCACATGGCCACTGGCGCGCTTTGAACACGGAGGCCAAAGGTTCTAATTGAGCACGTGCTCTCACCCATGTCCTCAGTGCAACTCCGCCTAACCGCCCCGCCCCCCTCCCACGGACCCCTGGCGCCGCCGCTGCGCCCGTGCAGCCCATCTCGGCGGAGGATCAGCTGACAGCGAGGCGGCACGTTACGAGCGCCGCTCCCCGCCGCGTCCCCGCTCGTAAATCGCCAACGTCGGCGGCGCGAGCGGCGTCCGGCGCGTCCGACGCCGGTGACGCCCGGGGAGGGTGACACACGTGCCGCCCGTCCCCACGTGCTGTCGCCACGTGTCCGGCGGCTGACATCGCGTCGGCGCGCCGGAAACGCCGCTAAACGGCCGTCACATGTGTCACGCCGGCATTGGACCAATTTACCGGCGATAGAAAATTGGCGTGGGGTGGGGGTAGTGATGGCTGGATCACGTTCCACGGAAACGCAGCGGTGGAGTTTTGATTTAGTTGCGTCCAGGTCATTTTGACATGTCATCCTTTCGTTTCAGCATCATCACGTATTTAACTGCACATTTATGCAGTTATGTTATCAGGCAAGCAATGCATTCCTGCTCTAAGCACGGAGTGCAATCTGGGTTAATTCATTTTCACACAACTTGTTTGTGTTTTCAGACTACACGCGTTAACAAAATTTGTTTTACAGTAGAGCAAACATTTCGTCCAAAATGTTAACAAAGTAACCTAGTCCTTGCATCTTGATAGCTTGAATGCGCCATTAAAAAGATTCCTCACTCGATGCATTAGATCAAACGATCAACAGACCGAACGGACTGGTAGAGCCGTACGTCTTCAGCGGCAGTTACTACAATTAGCTTACCTGAATCTGTTCAGCTGAACTTTCGGGTGGAGTCAGATGGAGTCAAATCATGATTTTTTCTTTCAATCCACATGCAAGTTTTGCAAGTTTCACAGATGAATTATGGTTGAGTCAAGGCATGCCACCATTTACTTACAGCGTGTGGTGATGTGAGGTAACCTCGAAGGCATTGCTTAACCTTCTCACCTCTCCCTAGGATAACCTTGCACTTGCATCGCCTCGTGCGGCGATGATAATACTATGTTGTAAAATATCCACTGGCGCTGTCTTGATCAGAGACCGAGACCTGATCTCAGACGGCCTTGACCTTGTATGACGCACCACCACGGGCACACAGTAGTCGACCTGACTCTGATACGTGGTGTAGGGTGATCAAGGCAAACCTTGATCACGGCTTGGTGTGAGTTTTGGCTTGACTTACCCTTAAAACTTGAAACAGCATCGACAATACTCATTGCATAACCGCTTCACGCCTGCAAAACCGCACGACAGCACCATGTCGAGCGCGGAGTTCTCAGAATATCTCCTGAAATAGCTGGTTTTTTTTTGTCCTTTGCATGTTAATGCTGTACGGACCTTGTACAACGATACCGAATTTCGGCGACCAAACATGGAGGCAAGTTTAACTGCAGGAGCTTGTGCAACAAGTTTTCGAACTTGGCAGAACAACTTGTATTACGCTTCGCGGAATTATTCAGAAGGCACCCCAGAAAACGGCAGTGCCGTCACCACCTACGATGGTGAAAGTTGATAACGGAAATCTCTCCATATCTGCACCGACTGTGACATTTTGACTGTTGATTTTGCTGTTAAGGCTATCACACAATACCGAAAGATGTACCGCACAGACGTGACGGGGTGGTACAAACAGCAAGCTGTGAGGTGTGCACAGACCTCCATTTACTCCGCACCGTATATCCTGTATGCGCTACAAATCCAGGCACAATCCGGAAATATGAATCTTGCACACACACTCACACACACACTCGCGCGCGCACTCAATTACAACCGGTTTTGAAGTAGATATGGCCCATTGTTGGCTGGCGCCGTCTTTGCTGCTTTAGAAGGAACTGTTATTTTGCAGCCGCGCGCCCATGTTACATTGTATGGCTGTATGGAATGCATGTCCTGCGTTATGTTGCTAAATCCTATCATGCACAGTGAACACACGGTTGTCGTACCGTATGGCACGATCCACGGCGACCCGTCGCGACGACATCATGCGACGGCAGGGGGTTGCGATTCTTGTACACCCCAAAATCACACATACCCGCACACACACGCACGCACACACACACACACACACACACACACACACACACACACACACACACACACACACACACACACACACACACACACACACACACACACACACACACACACACACACACACATATATATATATATATATATATATATATATATATATATATATATATATATATATATATATACGCACACACACACACGCACACACACACACACACACGCACACACACACACACACACACACACACACACACACACGCACGCACGCGCGAAGGAAGTGTTGTGCTCTCAGGGAGAAGCGTAGTGCTGTTACAACGGGTTGACAGCGTAGTTTGCACTGAAGAATAATTAGAATTGCTATCCCCCTGTGTCTGACGGTGCTGCAACGGCACTACCCAGTGCTTTCATGGGACGTAAATAGTCCTGAGGTGTCACTGGAGCACGTTTTTGAGCGTGCCCCAAAGGCGGGACATTCCTTTAATGTGTGCAGTCATGCATCACACTTTGTGTCTTGTAAAACTTTGGTTTGATGAGGTCACGGAGTGCGAGGCAAACGTCCTGGCCGGACGCACCATATCTGCAGAAAGGTTCCCAGGAGAGGGTGCAGGCTGACCGCGCAGGCACCCCTGCCCACCGAACACAAAAACCTGCAAGTGCCATCGTCTCAGGAAGTTCCGAGACGATGCCGATGGTTCGTTCCCTGCTTCGCGAGTCCCACGAGTCTTTGTCACCGTGGTGACCTTGTGGGGCCTGTCGTCCCCGACTCACTGGAGCGCGTGAGGGCCTTTTAGGTCCTGTCGGCACCGCGAAACCTGACCCCAGAGACTCCGGCCCAGCGTCCGTGCCCGGTTCTTGGTAATCTTCCGGAAGTTTCACGCCGCGTGGAACTGCAATGGGCGATAGCATCACAGCCGTCCTTGTGTCACAACGCCTCACGGCGAACAGAGCAGGGTAAACCGGAGCATATCCGGCGGCCCGTTGCATATCACGACCGTGTGGTCACGAGGCGGCCAATCCACGCATCGGTTTGCGATGTTCCCACCAAGCCAAGCTTTAAAGCGGACTTGCCGCATGGTTCAAATTTACACGACGAAAGGCGTCGCTAGTGCGTGCTCAGTTACTTTTGCCGCGGGAACGGAAGAAGTAATTGAAGTCGCGATGTTTTGCACTTTGTTGCCGAAAGAATCGTTCAATATATGAAGAGTAAAGTCGTTATTTTTTAGATGAAGTACAGAGAAACCATTAAATGTATTTCTTTCACTAGTAAATGGTACCTTGCCTCCGAGAAGTTCCGCGTAGATCTCGCGGAATTTCAAAATTGGAGCCCAAGGTGGTCAGGAACATCGTTTGATGGGCACAGCCAGGACATCCAAATGGCAAAAATGTCCCTTCGCAGCAGTCTTTAAACAAGCTACGGCGTCCCAGCTCCACAGTATTTGAATCACGCATACGTATTTTCGCAGTTATGTGCGCAAAAACCGGCCAGTGCACGACGCTCGCATCGCAGACCAAAATACACGGGACAGCAGATGCCACACCGCATCAGTCCGGCGACGCAGATATAGTGCAGCTCAGTATTCCTGGGG